CATGCATATGTACATACATACATACATACATGCATGCATACATACATACATACATACATAAAGGGGAGGTGATTGTCACTTATTTGCAGAAGGAGACGATATCCTCCATTGCTGGCTTTTTTTGTTTGTTTGTTTTTTACATTCTAAATTTTATTATTACCATCATTTATCCCTGAGCTAAGGCACTGCTGTGGTCTTGTGTGTAATTTTTAGCCCACCTGCACTTTAAAAACCTCTTTAACACACGTGGCAATCATAAAATTTGTCCGTGTTACGTCTGTTGGAGACTTGCCTGTCCCTGTGTAAAATCATGTGACGTTTATGTCTCGACACAGGCTAACAAACCTTGTCCTAAAACTCGCAGAAATTAACCTGTCTTTATGACTGGTAGTGTTGCATTCTCAGAAGTTTGCAGCTGACCTCCCTGGTGTGATCTCATATCAGCGGCTAAGCCAACCACTTTCAGAGGGACATTTCCACAAATACTGTGTGCGTTGGTCTTTTAATAGCTTTGGGGCATACCTCCAGAAAGAATTATTTCGGTTGAGATTTCTGGGGAGGAAGTGTGGGTTTGTAAACAGTGACAATTACTGCTAATAATGCAAGCCTCTTCAGTAAATCGAAAGAAGTTCTCTCAGTCACTGTGTGTTCATCTAAAAATAAGTACGCTTAAATTCCCCTTCATCCAATGGGTTAGTGGTTTCTATCCTAGCTAGAGGCAACCGGACATCTAGCCACACTGATGAGCTGTGATACAGCGAAACATTCTGTCTCTGGATGACAATAACTATGCTCCTGAAAAATTTATTTCGGTTGAGCTCTCTAGGGAGGAAGTGTGGGTTTGTAAACAGTGACAATTACGGCTAATAATGCAAGCCTCTTCGGTAAATCGAAACGATTTCTCTCAGTCACTGTGTGTTTATCTAAAAATAAATACGCTTAAATTCACCTTCATCCCTGCCATGCGCCAACGGCTTACTGGTAGAATCCTCGACTGACGCCAATTCAGTCGGGCTTCGATCCTAGCTAGATGCAACCAGACGTCTAGCCACACTGATGAGCTGTGATTCAGCGAAACAGTCTGTCTGTGGATGACAATAGATATGCTCCTGAACAAAATTATTTCGGTTGAGCTCTCTGGGGAGGAAATGTTGGTTTGTAAACAGTGATTATTACGGCTAATGCAAGTCTTTTCGGTAAATCGAATTGATTTCTCTCAGTCACTATGTCTTTATCTAAAAATAAATACACTTAAATTCAACTTCATCCCTGCCTTGAGCCAACGGCTTAGTGGTAGAATCTCCAACTGACGCCAATTAAGTCGGGTCCGAACCTAGCTGGAGGCAACCGGACCTCTAGCCACACTGATAAGCTGGGATACAGCGAAACGATCTGTCTGGGGATGATAATATATATACATATATAATAACACCAATACACGCAATCCACATGAACCCAAAATTTTAAATAATTAATCTGTTTGACACCCGCAAAAGCGTGAAATCCAGGGTCACAAACTCACATCAATCCAACCTAATATATATATATATATATATATATATATATATATATATATATATATATATATATTGAGTTCTACCTTTATTCTATCCTCTTGGAATTATTATTACTTTTATACAAATATATATGTATCTATATATATATTTATATATTTTAAATATATGATTGCATATGTATGTGTATATTTGCCACTAATATATATATATATATATATATATATATATGATTGCCTATGTATGTGTTTATTTGCCTACTAATATATATATATATATATATATATATATATATATATATATATATATATATAATGGTTAGAATCTCCGACTGACACCAATTTAGTCGGGTTTCGATCCTAGCTAGAAGCAGCCGGATGACTAGCCACACTGATGAGCTGCGAAACAGTCCGTCTGTGGATGACGTTATATATATATATATATATATATATATATATATATATATATATATATATATATATATATATATATATATGTGTGTGTGTGTGTGTGTGTGTGTGTGTGTATAAAATATATATATATGGGGAGGGAGGCAAAAGATTTATAATTTTGGTATTGAAATAAAAAAGCCTCATAGCTGATTAACTATATTATTTAAAAGAAATACGACTGTTTCCAGCAAACAAATACCAAACGGAAGAATCATTCTATACGAAATATCCTCTTGTTTCTCAATTTCTGCCTCCACATGCCACATGAATATTCTACAACACTTCTCCATAAAACCAGAGGACATCTTGTTTCACTCGTCTACGATGGTATCCACAAGAGAGTTAACTTTTGGATGAGAGGTTCCGTTAGTAGCATATACTAAAACGATCGAAACACCCAAATATAGAGGGTTGATATCTGGTTGGAGAGGGTTAGATGTGTGATGGCCAAAAATTGATAAAATTAGATTTGCAGAAATTCGGTACTTTTTTTTGTTGTTGTTGTTGTATGGACAGGAGTCCATATATAGTTTCCTTCAGGGTCGCTGGTTTCAAGGTATAGTAATGCATTGTATCTCAGAGTCTTTAATAGGCATCAGCATTAAATTTTTCACCAGCTTTCCAAAATTTGAGAAACATATTTTTTTCTATTGGTGGTCGCAACCCTAAAAACCATAACTTGACTTGAATGCTTCGTTCTGAAAGTGCCCTTGACATGAGCATTTGAGTGTGCAATGTGTTAAGGGGTCCTCCCATTTTTTACACAAATGGACTCACTCAGTATATACATATACTACTGCTACGTGAAGACCCGACTGACAGAGCAACCGTGAGCGAGCACGTAGATTCAGTAAGAAGTCATACAGCGATACTTCAATATCAAAGACTGTATAGATATTTTGCTACTAACCCGTATTCTTGGAACTACTAACCTGCATTACCAGTTTGTATTATTACGTTAATACATTATTTCCTATATTCATTCTTGGCGTTTGTTATTTATTAGTACCGGATTTCGTCCCGGAATCCGCAACACGATGTATCTCTCATTCTTGCAATTCAGAAAATCGTCAAATGTCTAGGTATTTTTGTCTGATTGGTTTGTTTTGTTTTACGGCATATCAACCTCAATGGGTCATTTTATGCCGACAACTTTTTTTTTTCCTGGTAATATTTTTGTTTTGTCAAAAATCCATTTCTGCTAAAAATCTTTCTTAAAAATGTATAGCTGGTAATATTATTTTTTTTTTCAAAAACGTATAGCTGGTAATATTATATATTGTGTATTTATTTTTTCCAAAACTTATAGCTGGTAATGTCATATTTCTACCAAAAACGTATAGCTGGTAATATTTTTTTTTTCAAAAACGTATTATCAGAGGCTTTGCTGTTGGACGTAACAAATTTTTTTGTCTGAGAAAATTTTCACATTAGACTTGTTTCTTTTAAGATCAGTTAGATATTTTTTGCATCTTTCCTTTCTTCTGGCCTTCATGAGTCGTGTCAGCAAATGTCTTGGTGTTCTTGTATAAGATTTTAGTTTTAATTCAACTTTCACTTCATTTCTGACAGTCTTAGCATCCACTTTAAGTTCAACTTTGCTAATTTTCTCAGGGATTTCGTTGGTTCCTTTGAGATTTTAAATTTTAGACACTTGATGAAATCATTAACGCGATTTTTGTTGATTGCACCAATTCCAGGCATTCTCTGAATAGTTTCCTTCAAAGTCATTCTGTTTTTCACATTAAAAACTGTCCGCAGAGATACTCCAACGATGCTTGTAATATTCTGTGGATGAACATGTGCGTTTAACATATCACACATACTTTGCCGTTTGCTTTCCTCAACACTCAGCTTGTACACAATTATCTGAAAAAAAAATGTGGGTAATTATTATGCAAGTTTATGACAATAAATTGAACCAGGTTACAGAAAATCAGTTGAATTGCTTCATGAGAAAAACAAGTAAAACTTCTATTGCAAATTTAAACTCCACACTTTTATATATATATATATATATATATATATATATATATATATATATATATATATATATATATATATATATATATATATATATATATATATATATATATTAAGAAATGGACAAAGTCCGACAATTTATTTATTAAAGACATTTTTATGTTTAACGTTATTTTTTTATAGATACAAGTATTTAGTAAATGCTCTGTTTATAATAAACAGTATTAAATAACATTTACAGTAAATTCGACCTTGCCAACCGAACGATCCATTGTGGCCGAGAGGTTAGGCACGTCAGCGTAAATGACGGTTTCGTATAGGATGCAGGTTCGAATCCTGTCAAAGGACGAATATTTTCTATGACAATTTCTCGGACATTCAGGCTGGTAAATGTTATTTAATACTGTTTATTACAAATAGAGCATTTACTTAAAAACTTGTATCTATAAAAAGAACGTTAAACATAAAAATTTCTTTAATATATATATATATATATATATACACATTGAAGCAAACACTCAGAGGTGACATACTGTTTCTATCGCCCCTGAGTTTTGACTTCAATGTTCACATATATATATATATATCTGATATTAAGCACTTTATCCCATAAATATACCACACTTAAAAAAATATTTTTCTTCATATATATATATAGAGAGAGAGAGAAAGAGATAGATAGAATCAGTCTTAGAATGATAGATTATAGACATAACCTGTGATAGATAGTGATTTTCCAAGCGCATCTTAGATGTGGCACAAGGCTGAAAGCATGGAGCACCCAGTGAGGATCGAACTTAATCATAATTGTTCCAGCGAGACAAGCGTGCAAACCATTACACCACCTGGAGGTGCCCAATAACCTGTGATAAATATGAACAAACTGAGAATATATATATATATTGAGATACAACCGATTAAATCGTTAGAGATCGATAAAACCAAGCTGAAATCGATACGTACAAAAATATGACAGAAATTAAAAGTGAAGTAGACAAAGATAATTAAATTTAGGTCAGTGCATTCTTTTTTTAGAAAGATGAAAGTAGTGATGCGCGGATTGACATGTGTCATTAATCTGCGTGAATTGAAATATTATCAATCAATGGCGATATTCCGACCCTCCAAAAGATGAATAAACAATGAAAAAAATGTAACGATGGAGCACTTTGTACTTATTTTATGTTTTGTTTCGGGTCGTTCCTTATCTCCACCGAGCCGATATAGAAACGTTTAATTTTTATATTGCTTATATATCTAATTTTCTATATATATATATATATATATATATATATATATATATATATATATATATATTGACCTCTGTAAAAATAGTATCTTCTCTCACTCACTCTCTTTCACGTTCTCTCGCTCTCTCACTCACTCACTCACCTCCTCACACGCTCAATCTCACATACGCGCGCACACTCACACGCACACTGTTTCTATTGTCTATTTATCTCAGGCATTTTTATCTATCTATCTATCTATCTATCTATCTATCTATCTATCCCAGCTTGTTCATATCTATCTATCTATCTATCTATCTATCTATCTATGTCAGTCTGTTCGTTGTCTATCTCAGTCTGTTCATATCTATCTATCTATCTATCTATCTATCTATCTATCTATCTATCTATCTATCTATCTATCTATCTATCTATCTATCTATCTATCTATCTATCTATCTATCTATCTATCTCAGTCTGTTCGTTTCAATCCATCTATATAGAGTCTGTTCATATCTATCTATCTATCTATCTATCTATCTATCTATCTATCTATCTATCTATCTATCTATCTATCTATCTATCTCAGTCTCTTCATTATCTATCTATTTCAGTTTATTCATTATCTATCTATCTCAGTATATACATCAAATATCTATATATCCATCTCAATGTTTTCCTTATCTCAATGCGCATCTATCTATCTATCTATCTATCTATCTATCTATCTATCTATCTATCTATCTATCTAACACAGCCTGTTCAATATCTATCTATCTATCTATCTATCTATCTATCTATCTATCTATCTATCTATCTATCTATCTATCTATCTCAGCGTGTTCATATTTATCTATCTGTTTTATGTGTTTCTCTGTGTTTGTTTGTCTGTCTCACAGTTATCGCAATTTCTCCATACCTATATTTCTTATCCTTTTCATATGAACCCTTAGTTTATGCTCTGTACTTAAGGCTTTGTATCACATCTAAGCTAATCTTAAGTCACTATAAATATATTTGCTTACCTTCAAAACTATTAAGTGGGTCATGAGTAATCTCCGTCTTTGGGAATAAACAATAATGGCGAATTCATGGTCCTAACTCCTTATTTATATGTTATTATGTTATAATTATTATAATAAGAGAGATAACAAATTTAGCTTTCATTAACATACTTGAATTATTTGCATTGCATTGGCAACGTACACTTTGGATTAATTAATCCATTTTTAAACTCACTAATGGATGGATTGAAAGTATATTGACTTCATATAAGTTATGTGAGTTCCAGGAAAGGAATAACGCTAAGGATACATCAAGAAGATACGTATTTTTTTTCTGGACAAGAAAGCATAACTAACCGGTAATCATTAAACTGGTTTCCAAGGTTTCATTCTAGAGAGACCACATTGAAAGATAAACCCAGACAGGAGTGGTTACAGGGCTTTGATGATGAAGCAAGAATGACATTAGTAATCGACGGCTAAGTACTCGGTAATTAGCAGAGATATTAAATAGCACAATCGATCATATTCCGACATTTAGAAAAGATGATGAGAATCACGATGCTTGGTGTTTGGGATCCAAAAGAACAAAGCGTGTCGTTTATTCCTCGCGACAAGTTTCGTTTCACAAATGAGAATTAACCCGCTCTTTAATTATGTCATAACAAGTGAAGAAAAATGATTGATATCCGAAAAAATGGCTGATGTCTGAAAAAATACCTGATATCCGAAAAATGATTGATATCCGAAAATGGATGATATCCGAAAAATGATTGATATCCAAAAAATGATTGATATCCAAAAAATGATTGACATCCGAAAATGGCTGATATCCGAAAAATGATTGATATCCGAAAAAATAGCTGATATCCGAAAAAATGGCTTATATCCGAAAAATGAATGATATCCGAAAATGGCTGGTATCCGAAAAATGATTAATATCCAAAAACTGATTGATATCCGAAAAATGATTGATATCCGAAAATGACAGATTACCGAAAAATGATTGATATACGAAAAAATGACTGATATACGAAAAAATGGCTTATATCTGAAAAATGATTTATATGCGAAAAAATGGCTGATGTCCTAAAAATTCACTGATATCTGAAAAATTATTGATATCTGAAAAGTGATTGATATCCGAAAAAGTGATTGATGCCCGAAAAAAAAATGGTTGATATCCGAAAAAGTGGCTAATATACAAAAATGACTAACATCCTAAAAAAATGGCTGATATTCGAAAAAATTCAAGGCAGAATGAAATAGATTGACAAAGATAAATCTCCACCAATTCCCACTCTACGCCAAAAAAAAACCCAAAAAAAAAAACAAAAAAAACAATCGGAGCTGCATGGAAGAAATATAAGTTTTGTTAGTGTGCAACGAAACGCTAAAATGCTTATTCATACTTCCAGCAGCTACAATGTGTCCGTAAAACATCAGTCTATATTTAAAGTATTTACTTTGTTCGGTCAGTTGTTCGCATCTTTATTGTCACATTCACGTGGTTTCGGCCGTTGTACGCTCCAGTCTTCTTCAGGTGATATACATTTTGCATACGGCCCAGTAAATAAAGACGTTGTCATCCAGTGGTTTGTAGAGTTGAATTAACTAAAAATGTGATATCCAGAAAAGGAATGGCACGTGGAATTACAACAACACGCTACGGTGGACTAAATTAAAGATTTCGATCGAAATTCCAACGTACATCACCTGAAGAAGGCCGAAGTGTACAACGAACGAAACGTCGTGAATATGACAATAAAGATAAGGACAACAGTAGGAACAGTGTAAATAGTGTCCATCACAGTTTGGTCGAACAGCACAAATTTACCTAAGTCGTCACTTTGAACTGATTCGCCATTTCAGTTCCGTAAAAAGTACCCGGATGTAGCCATTGGAATCTTAAACTACGCTGACATCGCAAGGTTCTTGCAAATGATTGAGGTTGCCGAATGAACATGAATAAAAGCAACATGACAGACGGGTAATTCGGACTCTTTATCCACAATTTTGTTCTTGATATACACGTTCTTATCCAAAAATTGGTGGAATACATTAAAAATTAATCAGAGACAAATTGCTCATTGATTCTAATAAAACTTGTACTATATATATATTTATATATATATATATATATATATATATATATATATATATGTGTGTGTGTGTGTGTGTGTGTGTGTGTGTGTGTGTGTGTGTGTGTGTGTGTATGCATGTACGTATGTATGTATGAAAAATATAGTTTTAATGTGTTTTTTATGGGATAAAGTGTTCAACATCAGAGATAGAGCGTATGTAAATATAAATATAAAAGTGAACATTAAGGTCAGCACTCACAGGCGACAGGCTGTTTCATGCTAACCGAAGTGTTCAACTCATCAAACCGATATCTCCTCTGCAAATAGATTTTTCATTTCGTGATTACCAGGATGTTCAGCTCATCAGAACGAAATCTCCGCAAATCTGCATTGAGCTCTCCCTGGATTTATATTCTCCTCGGAATTATCCCTTCCAGTCACAAACTAATAAAACGTATAATTATCTATCTATCTATCTATCTATCTATCTATCTATCTATCTATCTATCTATATATATATATATATATATATATATATATATATATATATATATATGTATGTGTGTATGTGTGTGTGTGTGTCTTAGGTATGTCCACTAATTCATGATACCAATGATTTAAAATGAATTTTAAAGTTTACAACGCTTTCATGAAGTTCTTTTTTAACCTTCAATTGCAAGCTAAAAGATTAAATTTACTATTTCAGTACTTAAAATTGTCTGTAGCGTATGTGAAGCAAATTATATTGGTTGGAATCGATTCCCATTCTTTTGGTAAAGAAATAGCTGATTTCTTTCTTAGTCATCTGTCATCGCAATGTAATTTTCTTTATTAAAAATATTCCAAATATAAAATATACTTTTCTGAATATTTATTTCAGGAATATCAGCTGATTTAACGTATAATTAATAAGATTTGATCATATATTATTTTAGTTTAAAATAACATAATAATGGATTTTTAAAACAAATATTAGCGGTGATTATGTACTTTTTATCTGATTGACGTGCAATGACTTGCGCTAATGAAGGTGTTGACAATTCCGTTGCTCTTCTACGGAGACTTTATCTGTTAGAACATACTTTTAGAAAATAATGGGTGAACGCATTTTTATATAACTTTAAGTACTTTGTAATATCAAAATTGTTGGAAAATATTCTTCGTAATATAATTTTAGGAATGTTAACCTTAAATATACTATAGATATCGATCTTATTTTCTGATAATGCCGTGTATATTCACCCATATTTTCAAAATGGACACGTTTATACACAAAAATAAAAATATTTTAAAAATGTGACGTCGTCCCCCGGTCGCAGCGTCGACTGTGTCGTTCGATCCCGGTCGCGGCGCCAATTGTGACGTCACGTGGTCTAGGGTTCTGATCCTATGGTCACGACACCAGTTGTTACGTCTTTGCCGCGGCGTCAGCTGTTCGCTCCTCGCTGCTCCAAACGTGACGTTCTAACCCTTTGGTTAGATTGATACCAGCCTCGTCGTTCTCAACCCGCTTCCAACGCCTGGTTACCAGGGTAACTGCACTGATCTCCGGTCTGCCTACCCACGTTGTGACTTGATCTTAGACAGACGATATCAAACAGGGCTTGGGGCCGTAATACAAGTTGAGTCTAACGGGGGTGATAACACACAATTATGTATAATAAAAAAAAAAAGAAATAAAAACTCACAAGGTCCAACGTATCAAGAAAAAGTTAACAACTTTTATGTCTATTTGCTTGGTACATAGGACTATGTCTACCTTCTGACCCGTTCTGTGGGTTGTGGCACGACGCTTTTACTAGGCAACTTTAAGGCTTCCTGTTGTCTGCTCTCTAAGAAATTTGTGTTTCGGTGTGTCTTTGGACGAAAGTCGAAAAAAAAAACTTATTTCTGTGGTCTGATTCTAAGTCGCTCTTCAAACTACTTGTTCTTGGTTGAAGAAGAGTCCAGAAGTGTGCGTGAATCTTGGTTAGCTATCTTGACGCGGTTTCAACACTGGGCGCTCATCTCTGCTTGTCGTTCACGGCTCAAACTGCAATCCGCTCGCCGTCCGCGGCTGATCTCTGCTTGTCATTCACGGCTGATCTCGGCTGGTCAGTGCGCGAATTAACTTCTTTTCTTCAGCTTGCTCTGATTCCAACTCCTCCACTTAGGCCAAACGAGCTGCTTCACTTCGGCCAAACGAGCTGGCCTCTCCTGCCCGCTAGGGGTGGGGGAACGAATCCGGCCCGCCGTCCGCGGCTGATCTGATTTCTGTCGTTTGGGGTTTCGCTTTTATTGACGCCGTCAAAAACTGGGGTGGGTCTGTTTGGCGTCGGGGATTCTTGATAATTCTAAATACGTATCTACCCTTCTTATTTCTGGTTAGGGATTTTCCACCCTCGGTAACTCACTTTCACTCCCACCTCCTTATTGCGTCTCTGAGGGCGTATACCCGCTTCCCCGCTTCTTCGAATGTCATGTGACCGCTTTCGGCCAATGAGGTCCTGGTCAGGTATCTTTCCTCCTCCTTCGTGCGCCACGTGATCCCATCTAGCCAATGACGTCTTTAGTCGGGCGTGGACAATCCGTGGCTTTGTTCTGGGGAAAGATACAACTTGCTTAAAAAAATAAAAATTTAAATTGCCCTTATCATAAGCGACTGCGATGACACCTTCGGCTTTTTTAACACGTGGTATTTGTCAAGCAGTGTATCGCTAATTGGATACGACCTAAGAAAGGGATTTCTCAGACTGGGTGGCGTTTTCGTGAACGAATAAAAATATTTCACTTTTTCTTTCCCTCGAAGCTTGATAACAAAAATCTTCATTATCTCAAAAAACATTTTCAGCCAACATCATCTTGTGTGGCATTTTTT